AAGGGCTACCAGGGATTTTGAAATTTTGCGAGTCCTGCTTTTGGCATAATGTCATTCACATTCCAATGAGTGTGTTATAATCCAAACAAGGTGGAATATCAATATCAGTAAATCAGTAAAAAGAAAAGATGTATGATGAGTTACTAAACATATGATGTGCACTAAGTGGCATGTGGCTCAAACAGTACTGAGATTATTGCAATGAATTGAGTCAGAGCCAATTTCTTAATTACCCAAAACATTTGTTTTGTACAGACAATTAGTCAGGAAAAAAGCACTTATTAGAAAACATATACAATGACTACTGTGTAAAACAATAAGTTGTCTGGTCGAGTAATGAATTTTCATTTTGTATGCAAATCATATGTGAATTGTATGAGTGCTTCAAGGGGTGCTGAAAGAGACAGAGTAAATGCATATAAGAAATACACAGCAAACACAGAGAGGTCATGGAGGGACCTGATGACCACAGGTTGGTCTTGGTGCAAACAAGTATTATTAAGGATAATTTCGTTAAACTCATCTAACTTTCTTACCGAATAGGTACAACCCTGGCCCCAGCAGCCTCTAAGTATTTGACATAGGAGGCAGCTATGTAAGAAGACCCACGAGCAAACTGGTCCCATGGAAGGTTTTCCTGTGCCAACACACCTAGCAAGAACATAAGACACATGATATAGCAGATATTACGAGGAAGAAAAACTCAAACTCAAACAGTTAGGCAGAAACAAAAGTGAAAATGTTGTTTAACCATGGTTAAAGTTAAAAAGCTCACTAAAAGGACAGATTTAGACAGGACTGTCATACTAAAAATGCCTAAAAAATTAAAATAAAACAACCCACCAAGGAGTCACTTTTCCTAATTTCTTTTCTGTGTACATAGTTGAAAGTGAACAAAGTAACACATTTTGTATAGTATGATGCTTCATTTTGAGCTATCCTTTCTAAAAGAACACACTTTGAGTATTGTAAAATTAGATTAATATGGCCTTTATCAAAAACAACCAATTCAGTTACTAATGAAGTGAGATAATCTAATGAGTAAGCAGAACAATACTATTAAACTATAAATTAAAAGAAGAAAAGAGAGAAGGTAAGGGGTGGAAGTGAAAGCAGTGGAAGCAGCAGTCGACAGTTCGTTGAGACCTCAAATTAATTTCTTTTTGGGCACAGATATTCAAATGCCCCTGTGAACGCCAGTTGTTGGTTATCTTCTTTATCTGAACATCGCTCAAATTTATCTGTGAATCGTGATATTTTATTCTTTCACATGTAGCCAAAGCTGAAGTTATTGTTAGACTTAAAATCTTGTGTCTATCCAGCTACTTCCTCTAATTGAAATCTGAGTTGAATTGAATTTAGCAATGAAACAGGTCGGTTGCATTACAGCAAAATTAGGTTCTCTGGCAAAGTGCAACACTAAAACTTGTTGATCCGAAACATAGCATAGCCTAAATCCAAGGACAAGTCAAAAATACGTTCCAAGTGAGGTTAAAAGCAATAGATTAAATATAATCTATTTTCTTATGGTTATTGATAGCATTAACACCACTTAAGAATGAACAACATATAATGAAAATGTGACTTGCACTGATTTTTTTCCCTAAATATTGGACCATGGCAATAAACACAAAGCAGACATCTTGAGAAGACAACCAAAAGTCTATGATCATAAACATAATAATATCTCAATATAACAGCGCGTAAACCAATCCACAGGGAAGACATCCCCTTCCTCACTCACCCCCCAATCCGTGCAAGACACCTTTTCTCGAACGTTCCAGACGAGAATTACATAAGAGCCTTTCAACTATCCACGTGTATAACCGACTTCTACGGGGACCAGTACTTACTAAATACTACCGTTCATGTGACCAAATCTTACCGATAATTGGTCGGTAATTGAGCTGCTGGAGGGTTCTTCCTACAGCACACAGAGCGGGTGAGCACCAGAGGCAGGCGGTCAGCACCGCGAAGACTGCTGCAGCTGTTCGAGGCATTCAAAACACCGCGCACAATTCCTAACACAAAACCGCTGCAGGGGGCAATCAATGTCAGCTGGATTGCAGGCTGGAAATGAAAGATTACAAAAGTTTCTTGCTGTTTTGCCTGTTAAAATAACAAACAGCTGACAAAAAGGTTAAAGCGTTCATTAAAATGAGCAAAATTACAATGAAGCAATCCCAGAAATGATGCCGTCCTCTGGGTGCTGATGCTGTGCTCCAGGAGGTAGTCCGGCTTCTCTCGCAGTCCTCCTACTTTCCTCGGTCTGTATTCTGAGGTGTTCCGACTATCAAGTCAGTCACGTGTGGCACTCGCCTGCAAAGAGCAACGTCATCCTGAGTAGCCTCCTCCTTTCTGGTGCGTCCCCATTAAAAAGACAGAGATAGCGCGGTCAGACGGCATCGTCAGACTACACCTCTACACAGGTACAGCTAAATACTGGGCGTGGGGGCTTTAACAAAGAGAAACACTGAGCATGCATGAGTCAGCTAAGACAAAATAGATTGCAGAATAACAGAGATGATTATAATTAAATGCAAAGTCGCCCGAAAGCATGTGGAAGTGTGACCCACAATGCAATTTCAGAAAAAGGCAGAGGAAAACGTTTAGGAGAAATAATAAGAGTTATTATAATAATAATAATAATAATAATAATAATAATAATAATATCCCAAAAGTTTGATTCTGTTCATCTGGATGCAGCGTTTTCAGTGGGAGAAACGTTTCGTCACTCATCCAAGCGACTTCTTCAGTCTCAGCTGACTGCAAGTTTCCCCAATCTTATAAACAGTACATTTGCATAATGACTGAAACCAGCCCACTGAAGGAACAATGGGCTGGAAGGTCAGTTCCTTGATCATTAATATGCAAATTTGCATGACCATTGATTAACAACCACTGATCAAAGTTCATTGATCAAAGCCCACTGATCAATGGCCCTGAGTACTATTCACAGAGAGATGGGGAATGGCTGCAATCACAGCATTGTAAGATGGCAAAAGGTGTACCCTTAGGACCCCTCCTCGATTCAAAGATGGTCTTTCCCTTTTGACTTAAATGGCCTCCTCTACTCCTCGCTCAAACTAGCGTTCCTCCCTGTCCAGAATGTGTACATCCTCATCCTTGAATGTGTGTCCACTGGCCTGTAGGTTTAAATATACTGTGGAGTCCTGGCCTGACGAGGTGAAAAAATAATAATAATTAAATAATAATAAATAATAATAATTATAAAAGCAAAATGATAAAACAGATAAATCCACTCACAACAATTCTTGTTTTTATCCTTAGAGCCTCAGTGTGTCAAACCCTTCCAGTGGCTACACCTGCTTGACCTCCACCACTACCAACAGAGATGGCACGGAGCCACACCGGTAGATCCTTCTACTGACTGATAATTGTCAACAGGGAGTTTTCAACAACCTGATTTATCAGAAACCTCCCTGACCTACCTTTGCCTTTTGTACCATAGCCCAGCACACCCAACAGCAATGTGGAGACCCTTCAGCTGTCCCTCATATGGTTGAAGTGGAGTTCAGTGTTCACTACAGACATTACAACTGACCGCCCTGTAGACCTGAGCAATGAGATTACTACCTCAGAAACCCACGTGAGAAACAGTTTTTTCATAATCTCTGAGGGGAGATGGCCACAAAGATTAGTTGTATTTCTTGGAAAGAGGCCAACTAGAGGAGGTCAGGCATCATGTTGTTCATGTTAAGATCAACCTCAAAGTCTAGCAGAAGAAAAAGGAGAAAATGAAAAAAAAAAAAACCCTCCACATGGCAGCCCTAACCAAGCATCAAGCTCCTGGCTGGAGAAGAAAACAGAATGATTTGACCCAAATATCTGAGCTAAAGACTGCTCCAACACAGACAACACTGTTGATTACAAGGATGGCAAAGCTGGGGGGAGGCACAGGACAAACTCAAACCTACTCTGCCTCAGGTGACTCCTTAAGTTGATAGCACCACACCCACAGCACACACAGATGATAGCATATAGCCTAGATATTTATATAGATATATAGATATTTTTGTCCCCAGTCAACTATTATTGTCTTATCAATGTAGACTCACAGCTGATAAGATAAGTGACCTATTTAGGAGGCAAAAAAAAGATCAACCACACACACTAGGGTAGTTAACTTTTACTAAAACTAAACTAAATAATGTATAGAGGATATATTCATAGTTTTGATATATGTTAATCTGGTAAAAAAAAAAAGAAGAAGAAAGAAAATCTGTTATCACAGCTTACATGATGAGGGTTTGATGCACATGTTTACTGAGAGTTTAGATATCTACAAGACTATGAGACAGCCACTTTCCAAAGGTTCAGTATTTTAATTGTAATACCTATACTGAGTTTCTTTAAATTTTGCCTGTGTGTGCCCTCCATAGCATAATTGTTAAAAAAACACAAAAACAAAGCATTTACAGACTAACTGAAAACAGCAAAGTTAAAGCAGCAATAGCTAGACAAACTAATTACAAAATGCACGCACACCCATTGAGAGCAATTGTACCCTTATTTTTTATACCTCTATGGGAAAAGATGGGGACTTTGAGAAACAGTACTACAAACGCTTTGCTTTACTATAACAAGTTTGTTTGAGTGAGAACATAAATGTGCAGCTAACACACACACACACTTGAACATTTTTGATGTATCAAAATCTGGTCGTTGTGTGTGAGGAATGACCTGTGTTTATGTAAGACTTTATTGCGACAGAGCAGCAAGGTGTGATAGAATGATTTACCTGTGTGCGTTATGGATGAACTAAGTGATTAATGTCTTGATATGTCTTATATATGCATACCTAAGTCTGGAAAAAAGCAGACACCACTATGTATGAAAGACAAGATGCAGAATGAGGATCTCATCTGAGCTTGATTGATGGTTCTCTCTTAGCTCGGTTGGTTCCAGTGAGTCACATCTGATTCCGAGTGAAAGCCTGAATTGTACTCTACTCCTACTTATAATCCAGTCAGGAGTAGAGTACTCCTATACTTTTTATTGATGCTTTGTCTCTACTTTGTTTCTCATAACCATTGTTACATTCTTACGATGCCTATTCCACGTAAAAACAGCAACATGCTTCTGTATGACACACAGCAATGACCTAGAATAAACCTGTCTAGATTTTTATGTCTGTTGTTTGTGCCATATGTGTAAATGCACTTGTGTGATCAATGAATGATCAAAAAAGGAGGAGAGTAATGGAAAATGATAAGATTATGCTCTTCTCGGTGCCAAGGTGACCTAACTGAAAAGAAACTTCCATAGTATCATGTTTTGTCTCCACATAATCTTTTAATACAAGATATGCTCAACTGTACAAGATATCTTTTGCACAGAATGTTCTGACTCTGCTCTGTGACCACGCCAGGTAGATAACTTGTGTCAATAAATTATTCTGTGCATGTTATTATTCTTTGTCTAAACCCACGCAGACTGCTGCTGCACTCTAAATTGTTGTTTGATCCCTTTGCAAAGGCAAATTAAAACCCTGGAAAGAAAACCTGCTTATGTGTAAATCAATTGATTTCAGATTGCCATAATGAGAGATGATAGAGTTTCTGATTTAAAGTACTTTCAGAACCTGCAATCCATGTAGATAGGCTTTGCCAAAATAAAGAATATTTTTATTCTTTTCGTTTCGGGACTATTCCACCTTATCACAGTATGGCAGCTGTGATTTACACAAACCAGCCTAATCCTGCTTTGTACATTTTGCCCGCACTGCATCTCTGCTGTAGTTGTGTTAATGTCAAAAGTTCTGCTGACCTGCACATTATCAACTTCACTGTTGTTATATGCCTTATTTTCTGTATTATGTCAGCAGGTTATTTCATTGTACACATTGGATTAATAGACCAATTGCTGTTCTTATTGGTTTTACATTCCAACCTATTCAATTTTCCTTTTAAACATAGATAACATCATCTATGTATGTTAGAGAAAGCAGCGAGTGTGTTGGCATTTAAGCACTCCTCAGCAAAGGTGCCCACTTTAAAAATGCCCTTTCTGTAAAGTCTGTCATTAGGGAAGTGAAGGCATATCCTCTGCTGGGCTATTGTTATCTAAGAGTTAGAGAAACAGAGAGAGATTGAGCTGTAGGTGAGAATGTGTAGGAAATGTGTTGAGAGTCAACACTGCGGCAAGGAGAAGTTGTTTTAGAGAGTGCGCATGTGCATTCTGTTAATTTGATTAAGTCAGCACTTTGTGTAGCAGGTAATACATGGATCAGTGACTTCACTTACATTACACAGTATTGCAGATGGACAAATTGCACTGCATCACTACTGACTAACCACAAGAGGTCGCACTCTTCTACCAAACAACCCTCAGCTTAATCCACAGTGTCCTTTTCACTTTGAGCGTTGTGTTTCAGGCACACTCAAAAATCACCTCATTCTTCAGACACATTGATTGTACAACAATTTATCCCAGTCAGTAAGTAGTGGCCTTTTCGGGCCGTAACAAGTGTAGTCTGAGCTACACACTGCTGGACTGTGAAACTGTGGAAACTCTCCTTGCTGAAAGAAAGCAAGCCTTGCTGTCAGAATAGGTGAAAAAAGATGAAGAAAGAGATAACGAAGGTTTAGCAAAAGTGACGGGTCAAAATATGACATTTGTTTAACATGACTTCTGCTAGAGTGGTAATTTAAAACTAGTTTAATACATAGGCCTACATGTAAGTGCTATGGAAAACCAAACCAAATTTCTGAGACTGCATCTATATACATTGCTGACAAAAGTCCATCAAATCTGGTCAGTCTTTCTTACTTACTTTCTTACATACTTACTTACATGAACTTGTGAATAAAACTCTATTACTTGACTTTTGACCCATAATAGACTGGTGATTGTTTGCCTGTCTGTAGTCAAATGTTGTAACCAATGTAAAGCTTTCATGGTTTGTAAATTCTTGCCAATTTGAATTTGATCTGTTTATCCTTCATCTGCCAGATTTTGTGGATTGATAATCCTGTTCATCCTTACCTTACAGAAGCAGAGAAGTAACATCATTTTCAATGAAGCCCATCCCAGGTGTCATAGGGTGAAAGGTAAGTTATTCTGTTTGCATATCTAAGTCCTTCTTGCAAGTATATGTTCTTTTTATTAAATTTCAAAAAAAGACAGGAACAAAACTGCCAGCTCAACCTTGCAGCTCTTTGTAACTATTAAGTACATGATGTCATATCAGAAGTGAGCTGGGATGTCTTTTTCTTTGAGACACTGTGATACATTCATGGACAAATGCAATATTGGGTTGATATTGTGCTTGACAGTG